TCTGATATGATACCAAATTATTAGGAAATACTTGAAGTTCATATGTAAACCCTAACGATTTTCACAAAAACAGTGAAAACGATCCACAAATCCAATGGAAAAAATCTGAAAACAGTAGTTTGAATTGTAATAATCAAACTAACGGTAGAAATATAGCAAGATACAATTGATCTTCTAATCGAGAGGAGGATCCATCTCTCCCAAATCTCTAGATGCCGTTAGAGCCGAAAAACCTAAGAGATATCAAATTTCAGTCAAATTCAAGATGCCTTAACCCTAGGAAAACAAACTATTTAATGCATACAATCCAAAAGGAAATCTCTAAACAACCTCTACTTTGAAATTTCCCTCCTAACTTTCTTCAAATACCTTCATAAGCAGCTCTATCAAACCTGGGCGATTGGATCGAGCGTACAGGAGGCAGAACTTCTCCACTTGTTTTGCACGGACCGGTCCCGTAGGACCAGATGGATCGGTCTAACACAAGCATGCTAACTTGTCTTCTAACAATAACACTACCTACAAGCATACACAAGAAGATTGTAATGAATGCTAGGATATGTTTATGAACAAAGCATAGAGAATATGCAACTGATGTAACTACCTTTCTATGATCAATATGAGCTAGTTTGCAAATGAATAAGCTAATGTTCTACAAACAATGACAGTTGATATGCAATGAATGCGATGATTTGATAACCAAAATGTGTTTGTTGAGTTCAAGACAAACGCATTCCACATAACAATCAGTGACATTCAGTTGAAAATAAGCATGATGTTTTTCCTATAAACATAAAAGTGGATAGAACATACTATCTACGAGCAAAAGTTTAGAAATTTGCATAGAATGCAAGCACCTATGACCAGCACTAGAGGATTTGTGATGCACACGACAACCTACTGTAGGAAGCGGAATGATCCGTTGCAACACTTGCAAGTAACAACAAATGACTCATCATGTATATAACAGCCTACATACAAGTTAAAATGGAGAACCCGTGGTGAATGTGGCTTGTCCATAAGTAGAGAGTGTAAAATTGAAATGCACATGGTAGTCCCACTTACTAGTACTATTGGAAGATTCACGTTGGATGCAGTTCACCTACATACTATAACCAGTAGCTTCTGAATGACTGCTGCTTGCCCACAATCAATATTAACTGATTTTGATACTGCATGATAGCTTGCTTGCAAGAAGCAACGAGCGACTCGTAGCGAAACTCTATGACTCACTTGCAAGCAGAAGCAGGGAATTTGTAGTGAAAACTACGAATTTCTGGTGGAAAGAAACAATAAATTGCTAATGCCAGGTCATCATGTCGAATAAATTAGCTCACTTATGAATGACAGGTGAAGGACTTGTGACGCATTGTGTAGCTCATTTGCAAGAAGTCATACACTACTACTAGCTAAATTTTGAGACTAAATTTTGAGAAAATAACATGTAAAAGATTAAATGATTTAAATAACACCACCTATGCACGATAAACAAAACCTAACTAGCCTCCATTTAATCGGATCTGCAACATTCATGCAAGAAAACATAATACGTTCATTGGCCCTTAAATGGAATTTTGCGTATTTTTAAACAATCATCATTTGCATAATTAACCATATTTGAATATTTCAAGAACACCCCTCATGCATTGAATTGCATACTAATGCATTCAGAATATGCACATGCACTTTGCAAATGCTCTGGGAAGCATACAAGTGCATAGCACAAATACACCATAAGTGCATGCAATTAATTATGAGTAGATATGTTATGAGCATTCTCACCTAGCATACAAATTCACTAAGCACATATACATTGCTGCATATGAAACATATTATGTAAGCATATTATTTAATATACAAATTACATTACGCCGTGATGGTGCATTACATGCAATCATAGTATGTATATATACGCTGTAGTATGTAGAACATGTTATGCAAGTATACTATCCAACATGCAAAATTTATTGTCATAGTAACGCACAATACCAACATGCAAATTTATTATACGCTACGCTAATGCATTAAGCTAACACACAAACGCATTATGCAAATATATGAGCAACATGTAAGTGTATTATACACACATTCTTAACATGCAAATACATATGCATATACACAAGTACGCATATAAATATGACAATGCTTATGCAAGCATGCAAACATACGAATACTTGTGCAAATGTGCATGTATACCTGCATATATCATACACACTTATTGTGTCACATGCTTACACACCATGCAATATACAAAAATGTCATGCAAACACGTCAAATAGTGCACAAATATATATGTTTACATGCATGTATACATGCAAACATACAAATATATATGCGAGTATGTTAACATGTAGATGAATACATGAGTGTGTTTGTGAACACGCATATATGCCATATACATCCCCTCTATTGCATACAAATAGCTACCATTTGCATTCAAAAGCATATACCCGCATGGGCTCCGATGAGTGTGATATATGTACATACGTGATATTTGAGGATGCTGCACGGGTCAGGAAAATGAACTTAAGTTCAAGTTCGATCATTCTTTGAATGGACCATAATTAACATGACTTGAACCATAGAACAAATACAGTCCTAGCACTGTCTGGAGTATTTGATTTTATCCGTTCATATTAGACCTTCAAGGTTTCTTATAAGGAAAATTCATATATTAAAATGAATATCCTGGGTTTTGAAATCTACATAACTTCAAAAATTAAGAGCTGCACCCAATCTTCTATTTGCAAGAAAATAGAGTTGATAAGGTCCAATTAATGAAATATGAATACCAATAAATAATCCCCGATGATGGCCGTGTTGATGGAAAATCTCAATAGGAGGGGACCCCAAGCATTTAAAATACTTCACAAATTTTTATAAAATACAAGCATCTAAATTATCTTTAATGTCACCACGATGATGACTGTATTGAATGCTAAAATCAATCAGAAGAGTTAATCTTTAAATTCTACCAAAAACTTCAAAACTTCCATTAATATAAAAAAAAATGAAATTAATCATCTAACACTTAAAGAAAAAGTTTCATTTACCCTTCGCAATAGTTTTTTGAGGTTCGTAGATTTTGAAATTATTTTAGCTCACAAAGAGCGAATGTCTAGTCGAGAGTATAAGTAGAATTCATTCTCAAATCATCTCTTGCAATAAGGAAATGAAACATGTCCTCTAACAGGTGGTTTTGCCACCAAATGACGCAACAGGTAAAAGGTTATAGCCGGGACCCTCTGACCCAGTGGTTTTGCCGCTAAATGACATCTTTAAATTACGGCCATGATCAGAGCCTGTATATTCCCTAACGGCTCTAAATTATTGAGTGATGAATAAGTAGGATATGATCGATATATATGCCACTGTTGACAACCTTAATTTGGTTGCTATTATAAGGATTGAAGATTATGCTTCTCTTTATCATGAATCCCAATGATTTCCGCTAACTATTGAGTATCCATCATGTTTGACTACATTAACAGAGCTCGAAAGTTCGAAGTGTATCAAACATTTTTAGGAAAAGAGATTAGCTATTACTTCTCTTATGATGCTTTGTTTGAATGCCACGTGTGCTATCATCTTCAAAAACCTGTCCATTACAATTAACATGTAGCTATGACCACTGCAGGTCATTGGTAGACTTCCAAATAGGTTCATGGAAATGCTTTTCCCATAATTGAGATGGCCGGTATTTTAGTGTATAAATCTTGCTTCCATTTTGAGGGCTTTGATGTGCAACGGCGTATGACCCTCTAGGAAGTTATGTACATGAGATGTATTCTTAACCAATATATGTAGCGTTGCAAATTGAGAAGCATGGTTACTACAAAATATCCAATCCCCGTCAGAAATGTGCATCCACTTCACCCATTTAGCACCTTTAGGAATAAAAAAGTTTGATTTTCTTTAGAAGAAAATTCTTTCTGACATTGTATTTTTTATCTTGAGTTACTTCCAAAATATATCAGGTGTCCTCCTCAAACTTTGTAGCGGTCATCACACTCCTATAATGCTAAGTGGGTTGTAGCTACATTATCGTGAAAAAGTGCCAGTAGTGGTTGAGAAATCACATCATCCATCTTATTCAACAGTACCTGTTGTATCAGATGACAGCCAAATTGCTGCAAATATGTCATCCACTCTTATTTCACACTTGTTGGAGCTTTGAATGTGCCTGTAGGTATTGAAATAGCTTTCTGCAGTGTGTGAGTTCATCATCATATTTTGGATGATTATTTTGAGCATTCAACAAAATCTCGAAAACACAGCTCATCTTGATTTGTTGGTTTGGTTATCAACTAAAGGGCATTGGGTTTGAAGCTTATGTATGTGATGTGTTGAGTTTACACCCCCCTGCCCCCCCCCCCCAAAAAAAAAAAAAAAAACAAATGAAATTTTTTTTGTAGGTTTCCCTTATTGCATTAAATTGATGTCTAGTGCATATGCAGAAGCATCATTCTCCACTTCAAATGGTCTCTGAAGATTTGATAAGGCGAATTAGGCATGTACATTAGGAGTAGATGTGCTAATAAGCTGATTAGATAAAATGAATGTGGCTAGAAAGAGGTGGCGTAGATTGGGAGCAATAAGAAGTGCAAAATGATTGGCCCAAGATTTGTTAAAACCTCTAAATTATCCGCATAGTTCAAGCTTGGCTCCTTTGCTTAATGAAGTTGCTGACAGGAGCTGGTTACGGAGCGGAATAATCCTCTTGCAAGCATGATGCACCTGTATTGAAAAATCTAATCAGTTCTCTTTTTTGCTTTGGGAAGCTAATTATATGTATTAGCTGAATATTTTAATTCGTTCCAACTCCCAACTTTAAGTTGGTTGCTGTTTACGAAACACACCTTTTATTCAATGTTTTACATACAATTTGATGGGAATTCTATGTTGTCTATATGCTTATTCTGACATTGATTTTATCATACCTATTCATTTATAATTGAAAGCTAAGCTAACCCCAAACTAGGATCCTGATTGTTTTGCAGGATGCCTTCAAACCATTAAAGCGTGCAATATTATTGTGGTAGATCTTAGACCCAATCTTATTAGGAAACATGGCTGATTACAGTTAATGAGCTCTACTATATGAACAGAAAGGATATTTTTAACTTGTAGCTTTATAAGTAGTTTATCTGGTGTGAGTTATCTCGATTGTCGTCAAGATTTGAAAGAGTTGTAGCTAGTTGTGTCTGGGTGGGCACTCCCAGATCTATCAGAGAGCAAGGGAAAATTTAATGAATGGATTTAAGCAAATTCTTTTGGAGATCTCATGATATTGCCACTTGAATGCTATGTAGATTGCTGTGGATAAGTGATTATTTGAAGTGTGATACTCATACTTTTTCAGTAATCATTAGTTTGACTATATTTCTGTCCATTCCTTGGATGCACTTCAACCACCTCGCAAAAGATGTCGTCTATGAGTGATATGAATATATCTACAAAGAAACATTAACTTTTCTCATATGCTTGTGGTACCAATTAGTGTGGTTGATATGAGTCTTAGTAGTTGTTGCCAATATTTTGGATTAGATCCTCATCTACATCATGATATACACTCACTTTATGAACTCACAAATGAAAAAAAAAAAAAAAAACCCAGTCTTATATGCTTAATTTTCTGTCATTTAAGCGTGATTTATTTCTGCTCTTCTTCATTTACCATCGATACTTATCTTTGCAGTTGTGAAAAATGTGAACATGATCATCATAATTTACAGCGGGATATTGCTGTAAAGTTATAGATAATCATCTAATTTGATTCTTCTTGGATTCTACTCAGAGATAATTGTTTCTGGCGGGATGACAATGCCACAGATGATTTCTCCCATTGGAAGGATGCCCCATAAGAATCAGAGTATCCGTTTGAACAGAATCACATAAATGTAGATGATTGTTTGCTAGGTAATTCTACAGCAATTTCTCAGGTCAATTGTTTATAATGTCCAACGTGTACAATTTCTCCCATATATTAACCAAGTTTTTTTTATTTTTTGGTGATGAAAATTGTATTTTAGGTTTTTGAAACTTTTTAAAAATTGCAAAATGCATTAAAAGAAAATTATTACAAGCTAATATGTGGCAGCTATTCTATCACTTTCCTCCTTTAAAAAATTAAAAAAAGGAGGTAAATTATTCTCTAACATATCTTCTAAAAAAAAAAAAAAAAAATCCCAATATAGTATAATTGGCGCATAAATCTGCAGCTTTATTTCCCTCTCTACAATTTTCAGTACATCTTTCGTTAAATCTATGTAATGCAAGTTATTGAGAGAAGAATATGTTCAAATCCCCTCTACTGCCATCATCTGTGCAAGCACCCAAAAATAAAATTAGAAGGAAAAAAGTAATTGCCTCCCGTTGTTTTCTGATTGCAATGGAAATTAACAACTCATACTAAATAAAATTCCAAGCGATGAAGAGCGGGTTTGCACTTCCAAGCATTGTTTTGATACTTGTTCTTAACACTAAGCAAAGAGGCTTTAGGAACAGCAAGAATTATGTGGAATAGCCAAGTGAATGTCAATTAATTTAATTGATATATACATATAAAGTTGTTGTGACTTGGAGTATTCACGGCGATAGAGAAATATAAAGTTTAGCGTCTTAGCATTATGAAGATCCAGCACACAAATAGATAAGAGAGTGTGTAGCGTACATAAGAGAAACTTCTAAAAAGGGGGAAAAACCACTGGGCCTAGCCCAATTTGAATGAATCCATTGGTATTTGCAGTCAATTACAAATGAGGTCCTTCTTAGGGAGAATGCTTTGGCTTAATGTTACAAATGTACATTATATATAACGCATTACATGGTGGGAGTTACAATAATCAACCTTGACATGTTTGTTTGGTCGGTCGGACCATAGTTGATAGGATTGAGGTCGGAAAGACCATAATAGGCAGGAGGTCGGGGTCAGAAAGATCGTTGTTCGACGATGTAGGTCGGAAGGACTGTAGTATACAGGAGATCGAGGTTAGAAAGACCGTTGTCTGGCGATGTAGGTCGGAAGGACCGTAGTAGGCGACGAAGGTCGGAAGGAAAAATAGTCGACCGGAGATGGGGGTCCAAAAGATCATAATTTGTCATAGATTGGGGTCAGAAAGGCCGTTGTAGTAGGGCAGTACTATGGTAGAACTTTGGGCATCAAGTGGTGGCCAGACAGAATTCCGGGCCTCAGGTGGTGGTCCAGGAGAAGTCCGACGTCAGGCGGTGGTTCGGCGGAGCTCAGGCCCTTAGGTGGTGGTCCGGAGGAAGTCCGGGTCTCAGGTGGTGGTCCGGAGGAAGTCCGGGTCTCAGGTGGTGGTCTGATAGAAGTCCGACGTCAGGCGGTGGTTCGGCGGAGCTTAGGCCCTCAGGTTGTGGACCGGTGGAACTCAGGCGGTGGTCGATGAGCGAGGAGGTAAGAGCGATATCCTATCTCTCTCTTGCTCTATTGCTTGGAGGTCCCCCTTTTCAAGAGGGAGGAGTGGTCTATTTATAGATTTCCTAGAGTGGCATGACTCGTAAATAGGAGGATCAAAGGGCAAATGGGGAGTGGTTTGGATGGATGACTGATATTGAATCCCTTGATGTAGACCGTTAGTCAGACATTTGAAGGTTTTAATGATGTCGGAATTCGGCAATCTTGGGCTCGTTGGATTTGTCTCGTCGAGCTGCTCGATTCGACTATAAGAATTTCACATTTGGAAACCGTTTGGTAATCCAAATTGTGGTTCGAACCTTCCAACAGTGCTTCAGATCCTTGATTTGGACTCATTTGGGCTCGAATTGAGTCTAATTTGGTGTCGTGGGGTTTGTATTTCCGAGACGTTAAGTTTGCTGAAATCGGAGTTTGGATGACCCCAATTTGAATTTCGGAAGTTTCCAACTTTGATTTTGCCTCGAGATATGTGCCCGATCAAGATAATTTTTTGAGGATGTATCAATAGTCAAATTTTTAAAATTGGATATCGTTTACATAAATCTTTTTGTCACCACTGACTTTAAGCCTAAAGAAAATATTACTCTTCCAGGAAAATGATGAATGCCATATTTTTCCGTGTATACATATATATAATTCTATTTTCCGTGTATATGATAAATTTGGGTCATGAAAGTTAGGTTATGCACCTTGCTTAAAATAACAGTCAATAATATATGATAAGAAGTTTAATAGGATGATTAACTTTCATGTAAAATCTTAACATGCAAAAAAAAAAAAAAAAAAAAAAAAAAAACCCATAATATTACATGAATCGTTTGAACTTATTTAAATATTAGTATTCATAGATATAATTAGTTCAGTGTAATAGATTTGAAATTTAAAAATGCTTCATTAGTGAAATAACTAAGATATTCAATTACATGAAATAGATAAGAATATTTGCAAAAAATTAAACTTTTAGCGTTAATAGTATTTAAATGCACTTGAGCGTTAATAATGTTTTTTTTTTTAATTTTATTTTTATTGTCTTTTATTCTTAACAATCATTTTTATAAAATGTTATGCAATGTTTGTGTAAACATTGACACATTCATGATCATAGTAATCAATGGTAAAGTTTGAAATCAATTAAAATATAGTTGTTAACAGTTAACTCTTAATCAAGTTTGAATTGTATAATCTTAAATTTTCAATATTAATTTTCAGGAAGCCCTTTTGGCCTTTATTGAGCCTCATGTTGTTAGAATTTGACACTTTTTATACAGATCATTATAATCTATTAAGTTATTTCATATGATATGATCTTTAATAAAGTTATTACTTATAGCATTATTCTCATAAGCATTTATATATTTATTTTAAATATTCACATGCTTATGCTAGTATCAAGTTGTGTCACATTATAATTTATACATTAATATGCAACATTTGTAATAGTATATGCATATTTGAATAGATATTGTGCATAAATAAATTTGCACCGTACAGTATGAAATAACATGGGATTGCCTTTTAATATAAAAATTTATTCAGTGTATAAAATTGTTTGATATTATTAAATATCATTAAAATGACTGATGTTATGAATTTCTTAGTTAAATTTGATAGAAGCAATTATGATTAGTAAACCTATGAATTATTTTCTTCTTATATTAGAGATTATCTTATCATAATAATATAATTCTTCTCTAGATAGAATTTTTTTATTTCTATCTCTTATATTCAAATCATTAAAGATATGTGTGTAGGAGCTATTACTTGTGTTCAAACACAAGGCAGTTTGACCAAGTATTTTCCTATTTCGGTTCGATTACATCAAGGATCAGCCTTAAGCCCATATCTTTTTGCTTTAATCATGGATGTTCTCACTAGACATTTGCAAGAGGATGTACCTTGGTGTATGCTTTTTGTTAATGATATTATTCTTGTTGATAAGACTAAGAGGGAGTTGAAGGTAAACTTGAATTATGGATGTCAACCTTAGAGTCTAAAAGTTTTCGCTAGAGTAGATCTAAAATTGAATATTTGGAATGTAGTTTTAGTAGCAATAGACCTAGTGAGGGGGTTGTGACTTTGAGAGATCAAGTCATTAATAAGAATACACGTTTTAGATATCTTGGATCTATTGTTCAGAGTGATGGTGAAATAGATGGGGATGTTATCAGCATAATTCAAGTTGAATGGTTGAAGTGGAGGAATGCATCGGGCATTTTGTCGATAGAAAAGTTCCCCTCAAACTTAAGGGAAAATTCTATAAGATGGTGGTGAGACCTGCAATGCTTTATGGTGCCGAATGTTGGCCATTAAAAGAGAAGCATAAAAGTAAGTTAAGTGTTTCTTTAGGTGGATGAGTAGCTTTACCCTTATATAGATAGGATACGAAATAAGCATATACGTGAAAAGGTTGGAGTAGCTCCAGTGGAAGATAAGATTATAGAGAGTCACCTTAGATGGTTTTGTCACATTAAGTGGAGGCCTTCCGATGATCCGGTTAGGAAAGTTGCGGTATTAGATTTAACTCATGTTAAGAAAGGAAAAGGTAGACCTAAAAAGACTTGGTTAGAAAATATTAGAAATGATCTTTCTTTATTATATTTAAATGAGAATTTCACTTTTAACAGACACAATGACAAAAAAGGATTCGTGTAGCTGACCTCACGCAGTGGGACAAAGGGTTGATGTTATTGTATCTCTCAAAACTTTTGTTCTTTTGTAAACTACTTAATTATAATAGTTTCATTAATTTATAATATTTTTTTATTAAACAATACAATCCTAAGTCAAAGTAACTTCAAAATTTCATCCATGATTAGAGGCTTAACAATTCGAGTTCAACCTCAATTTTTAGAGCACATGAAAAATTAGAATTTATCTTTTATCCTTAGCCTCCTCTGCTTGCCATCTTCTTCATCTTTCCTTTAGCTCTAGCCCCACGCAAA